CGTATTTCGCTTCTAAGACAGTGGATTTTGTTCCACGGCGCGACTGTGAGTTGAGATTTTCAATCAAGTATTTTTCCCCTTCCATCTTCTCTATTTTGTTATTGGAATCTACAGGTATTTTACCAACAATTTAGAAGCAAAATATATTAAATTTCTATACTGTTGATTTCTTGAATTTGGGAAAAATATTGTTTTTGAGATTGAGATATTAATCATCGTGTACTACTCGAAAAAGAATAATCGTATTTTAGGAACTCTTTTGGATTTACGGTTTTTTGTACTCAACTTAGCGAGTATCAAGATTAATTTTGGGTGCCGTATTTTTTGATCGATTCAATCAAGAATCATTCTTGTTATTTAAGTTGGTTAATCCTGGAGTTTTTATCCGACAGCTCTCTGAATAGGAGATATGCCGTCAAATTGTTTTTTGATATTGGAGTTGAATTAAGCTACAAGAATATATGCCTAATAAGGCGAAATTTCCATTAAGTTGGTGGATTTAATTTATTGGTTAAATTATAGTTTAGTGGCACTCAAGTGAGTTTGTGAATCAAAGAGGAGCGGTAGTGCTTGTGTTGATGATAAATAATGAAATTATTAAGTCAACTGTGTCGCATGGTCTCGTGATTGTAAATTAATGAAATATTATAGTTGATGTTCCTGCATCAAGTGGATTAATTTCAAGATTGTTTGAGCCGAAGCTGGAGTTAGCCGACTCCAAATGTCTGTGGGTATTGCGACATTAAAGATGTTGCTGCTAGATGTTTCAGAATATAATCATCTAGCTAGGCTCGTCAATAGCTAGCTTTGGTACATGCACAAAATCAGATAAGTCCTTCTCAAATAATTATTTCTAACTTTACGTAATATGGTGTCTATTATTATGTGCCCCTGTTAAATGTGCATAATTTTATTATTATGAGCTAATGCAATGCTATGTGGGGTGAGGTGAGTTAGATCTTGTAACTGACTAGTATGTTAGTTTTACTCTTGTAAAGGAGTGGCATTGAGGAGGAAGGTCTCCGTAAAAGATGTTTATCTGTGGTTATTTGCTTGTTGTTTTGCAAGTAATTTATTTCTGCTAATGTATGTTTTGTCCAATGGTATTCTATTTATGTTCATGGACTTTAATGTGTTTTGTCCTAGTAGATTAGGGATAACATGTGTTCTATCTTATGATAGTGTTTTTAAATTGTTATTTATCCTAATCATGGACAATGTTTTGTTGACACTAGTAGAAAAAATGTGATGGGAAGCGGTTATAGGCAAGCGGTTTACAAAATCCGCTTCCCATTTGCTTAATAAAAAAAAAGGAGGGAAGTGAAATGGCCAGCGGTTTTGGCGCAAACCGCTTCCTTTTTAACTAATGGTCAGCGGTTTAGCCTTGAACCGCTTACCATTAGTTAAATTGGCAAGCGGTTCAAGGCTAAACCGCTTACCAATTTAAAAAAAAAAAGCGGGCTTCACTCCTCCTCTTCTCCTTCCTGTTTCATTCATTCAATTCCAACTTCCCAAGATTTTCAATTCCCCCGCCTTCACTCCTCCTCTCTGTCTCCCTCATCCTCACCTGTCTTCCGGCCACCACCACCACCACCACTGTCAGTTAGCTTGTTTATATTCCGGCCACCACCACTCCATTTTTATTTTTATTGAAGTTGCGGCGTTTGGGGGTCGTGCGTGGGTCGTGGGTTGAGGCTGCTGCTGGTGGTGGGTCGAGGCGGCTGCTGCTTGGTCGGAGGTTGATGGTGGTTGCTCGAGGCCGCCGGTGTTAGCTGGTAGTGTTCGTGGGTGTACTTGGTGGTGGTGCATGTTCGAGGGTGTTGTTGAACCGAGCCCAAGCATGCACTCTAGCTTCAATCTTCAATCTTTGTCTTTCTCACTCTCAAATTAGGGTGAGTTCTTTCTAAATTTTAGTTTCATAAGTATTAATTAGTATTAATTGTTTGTTATTCCAAAATTTCAAGTTAGGGTTTTAAGTAGTTAATCCAAGTTTCATATGTATATATATATTGTTTGAATTTGAGTAGCTTTAAATGAAATTGATGAATATAATATATATTAGTTAACATTTTAATTTGTTAAATGTGGTTAATAAATTGCAATGTATATATGAATATAATGGATTGATATATATATATATAAGTAAACTAAGTTTGATTTTGTATGTATGTTAATTTAATTATTAGCCCTATTTAAATGATTGAACTTGTTTATTGTTGAATGTCAAATAAATGCAAATAATAATTGAATGCTTGCATCATCATTTGCCTAGATACCCGTTCAAGTCTTTCTCAATAGGAGAAAGTCTTGAATAGTCCCCAGTTGGGACTGTTCTTGGACGTTTAATCTCACTTAGGTAGTGAATGTATGTCTCTTTTTCGATTTTAAGGAATATCCGGGCTTCTCATTTTCTCACCATGTTCTCTGGGTACATATGTAGGTAAGTTATTACCTACATCGTGTACTTGGAGAGCTGGGGGGAAATGCTGCCGGATTTTCCTTAAAATTGAAAAGTTAACATACATTCACTAGTGAGATTAGACGTTCAAGGATGGGTTAGATTGGAGTGATAAGGACCTTTTGGGAGCATTCATTTTTACGATTTATGGATGATATATATGCTATGTACTTTGATTACATAATATATGTTACATTTATCATTGTTTGAAATGTGTTGGTATGTTTAAAGGTAATTTTAATCGTCAATGGATCGCGGTTGGATGTATGGTAGACGTGATACATTGGAATTTTTTGATGGGGTTCAAGAGTTTTGCAAGAGTGCTTCACAGTATCAGCTTAGAACGGGTGTCAATTACCTTTATTGTCCTTGTGTCAATTGTAATAATGTCATAAGGGTCAATAGTGTGGATACCATCATGGCTCATGTACAATGGCATGGGTTTAGGCCTCAATATCATGTTTGGGTTTGTCATGGTGAGAAGGGAGCGTATAGGGAGAATGTTGTTGGCAATGAGACGCATGTTGAAAGTGCCGAGATTCATGTTGAAGAAGAAAATGGGAGTGATGATGGTGGTGAAGGGGATGACACCGAGGATGGTGGTGGTGATGATCACTTGGATGAGATGATGCGTGATGTTGAAGGTGAATTTGGTGACCGACCTGATGTATTTGAGTCATTATCAGAGGCCGCCAAAAAGCTTTTGTATCCCGGGTCCAAAAAATACACAAAACTCTCAGTCGTGCTTACACTATTTAACATTAAGTCTAAGCATAACTGGAGTGACACTAGTTTCACTTCTTTGTTGACTGCGTTATGTGATATGTTGCCAGATGGGAATGAACTTCCTAATTCCTATTATTATGCAAAGAAACTAATGTGTCCATTTGGTTTGGAGTATAAAAAGATACATGCATGTTCTAATGACTGTGTTCTGTATCGAAATGAATATGAAGAGTTGGAGGAGTGTCCACGTTGCGGTAAGTCGCGTTACAAGCGATCAAGCTGCAATGCTGGTAGTAAAGGACCTCCTGCCAAGGTGTTGTGGTATCTTCCAATTATTCCAAGGTTAAAGCGTCTATTTTCAATTCCAAAAGACGCCAAGAACCTGAGATGGCATGCTGAGGGAAGAAAGAAAAATGGTTTGTTGAAGCATCCTGCTGACTCTCCACAATGGAAGAACATCAGTATGAAGTTTAGGGCATTTGGTGGTGAAGTCAGAAATTAAAGGCTTGGGTTGTGCACAGACGGTATGAATCCATTTGGCACTCTTAGTACTAAACACAGCACATGGCCGGTACTTTTAGTGATTTACAACTTGCCTCTGTGGTTGTGTATGAAACGGAAATATATAATGCTTTCACTTTTGATAACGGGGCCAAGGCAACCTGGAAACGACATTGATGTTTACCTTGAGCCCCTTATTGATGATTTGAGAAAGATGTGGGACGAAGGTGTAACCGTTTATGATGCCCATAAGAACGAGATGTTTCTTTTGCGTGCTGCCCTTATGTGGACCATCAATGATTTTCCTGCATATGGAAATCTGTATGGGTACAAGAACAAAGGGCATAAAGCATGTCCCATTTGTATTGATGACACACCGAACGTGTACCTTGACCACTATGGCAAAGATGTGTACGTGAGGACCCGAAGATTTCTTAGGCGCGATCATCCGTATCGTAAGCAGAAAAAGGCCTTCGATGGGAAAGTTGAGGAGGGGGTTGCGCCTAGGCCATTGAGTGGAAAGGAGGTTTATGAGAGAGTGAAGGGTATTCCATGTGTTTTTGGTAAAACAACGAAACCAATTGACCCACACGCTCTCTTTAAAAAGGAATCAATCTTTTGGAAGCTTGAGTACTGGAAAGAACATGATGTTAGACATTGTCTCGATGTGATGCATATAGAGAAAAATGTTTGTGATGCAATTCTGGGGACAATTATGAACATTCCTGGAAAAACGAAGGATGGCAAGAATGCACAGTTAGATTTGCAAGAGAGGGGTGTTCATCCGGAGTTGTGGGTTCAAGCTAAGGTAGGGATGGCGAAGGTTAAGGAAAAGGGAAACGAAGATGGTGGTCAAAACCGTAAGGGGAAGCGCAAGGACAAGGCCACGGGTATCGCAAAGAAGAAAGGTGATGGAAAAGGGAAAAACCAAAAGGTGTATTTACCTCCAGCTTGCTACACATTATCAAAGGAAGAAAAACGGAGGTTTTGTGCTTGTTTGTATGACATTAAGCTTCCTTCTGGGTTCTCGTCAAACATGAAAAGGTTTGTTTCCTTAAATGGAGAATTAAAGTTGACAAGTATGAAATCCCATGATTGTCACATGATGATGCAAGTTTTCCTACCGATTGCACTTCGTGGAATTTTACCAAAGCACGTGAGAGAAGTTATAACAAGCCTCTGTGGGTTTTTCAATACTATCTGCAGCAAAGTTCTTGATCCCTTTACACTTGATGCTCTCCAGGCGACTGTTGTGGTAACTTTGTGCAAATTTGAGATGTTTTTCCCACCTTCACTTTTTGACATAATGGTGCATTTGATTCTGCATTTGGTTCGTGAGATTAAGTTGTGCGGTCCAGTATTTATGTGGTGGTGCTACCCTTTTGAACGACACATGGGTACACTGCAAGATAAAGTAAGAAATCCAGCCCATCCGGAAGGCAGTATTATACAAGGAATTGTGTCCGAGGAGATTGGGAATTTTGTGGCAGAGTATGTTGCCGTTGCCGAACCTATTGGGCTTCCTACATCCCGACATGAAGGGAGACTTGATGGTCATGGCATAGTCGGGTCAAAAAGGATCTGGGCTTCTCGAGATCAAATCATGCAAGCTCATTTATTTGTGCTTCATCATATTGCGGAGGTTAACCCATATTTAGAAGAGCACATGGATAGTTTGCGTGTTGAATATCCATCAAAAGGGAAAAGAGCACTAATGCAGTTGCATAATAAGATGTTTGTGAAGTGGTTCCATGATCGTGTGATGAGTCAATTGAATGAGACTGTGTCTGATACAATAAAGTGGCTAGCTTATGGTCCGAAGGAAGATGTTCATTCATTTGAGGGATATGATATAAATGGGTACACATTTTGGACTGAAAGTCGGGATCAGAAATCCTCATCGACTCAAAATAGTGGTGTCACTCTTGTGGCTTCATCAAGAGAGTTTGCCAGTGCGAAGGATACATCACCAGTTGACGCACTATTATCATACTATGGACGAATTTAGGAAATATGGGAACTAGATTACCGTGACTTCAAGGTTGGTATATTCAAGTGTAAATGGGTCGATAATAATAGGCGCAACGTGAGAAATGATGACTTCACTCTTGTAAATCTTGGCCACTTGCGGGATAGTCTTGAACCATTCATCCTTGCATCTCAAGCTAAGCAAGTGTTCTATATAACTGACCCGTCCGATCCAAGATGGTCCATCGTCCTATCTAGAAAAAGGAGAATTTTAGGGGTTGGAGAGGTTGAGGACGAGGAAGAATATGATGCATTTGCTGATTCGCCCCCTTTCACTACTCCTACACTTGATGTAGCAACTGATGTAGATGATGATGCTACTTATATTCGATCTGACCACAATGAGGGAATACACTAATGAGGTACTTTTATTAATGCATGTTTCATTTACTAAATATCTTATGCTCCAACAAGTTTGTTTTTATTTTGGGAAGTGTTTTATTTTTTTTGTATTTTCAACGTATAAGCACGTAATATTCACTAAATATATGAATTGTTTAGAGGATTATATGTGAATTTGTTATGAAACCAAAGAATTTGGGTAAGTGTTTATCTTTCATCGTGCCTCAAAAATTGATTGCCATTACTGATGACTAACAACATGCTTTGCTTGTTTACTTTAGGTGTGCACATATCATGGATCCTGATGAGAACCTTCATTCTGATGAGGATATAGATGATGATTCTGGGGACGAGTTGTATGATGTTACTAAGGAGACGGATATGGGGGAACCGGAAGACCAAGCTTATGACCAGTTCCAACATAAGCTTGATGAATTTGAGCGTGTAGCTGAAGCTGCCCCACCTATTAATGATAATGTGGTTACCGAATTTGTAGGTGATTCACATTGTGAAACTCAAATGCAAAGGCAAGTGAAAAAAACCGGTGGTGGAGGAGGGGTAAAGCCATCGGTGAACAGAAAGAGTAGGGGTGCAACTAAAGCTTTCAAGCACCCATTACATCTCGGTCGGGATCGATTCTATAGTTGCTGGGTTTGAGGACTTACCACTACCGGTGCCTAGAGAGGAATATGATTTTTTTAAGCTGTGTGACGCGACCGGGAGCTTTGTGCAATGGCCACGTGATCGGTTGAGGTTGGTAGGAGGGGTAAGTAAACAATACTTGTATGTAACTACTTGTATGTAACTAGATTAACATGTGCTTTGTGCAATGACCATGTTTTTTTATGCTACTAGATTACTATGGAAATTCAGTCCGCTAAAAGAAAGAAGGTGGAGAAGCAAAAATCCAAGGAAGAAGGTCCAACGAAGATGGAACAAGGAGCAAAAATCCAAGGAAGAAGGTCCAACGAAGATGGAACTAGGACAAGTGTCGAAGAAGAGTTCGAGAGCTTCATGTACTCCACTAGTAGAAGCCAAAGTCCTTAGGTCGCTTTCGAAAGCATGTACTTTTCTTCACAACCGTGCTAGTGAGTTGCCTACGGGTACACATATTCAAGTGAACTTGCCTAAGGCATTGTTCCACTATGATGAGGATGCGATCGCATACATTTCTAGAGAGGATGTGACGGAATTTCTAACCGGTTCCATGCTTAACATATCCATCATTCAAACATTCATGAGGTAAATTAACGAGACTATTTCTAAAAATATTGTATTTTTGATATTTTCATACCAAAACAATGCAACTAGTAATTACTTGCACACATTACTTTCTTGAAGGTCACTACAGGAGCTCCTTGCTAGTAAACCCGATGGTGAAGCAGCAGTTGGGTGGTTATGCCCCGAGCAGACCTCCGTAACCAAATGCTTGAATAACCCTCGTGATGTGATATATTACCTTTAGCGGGCTATTAGAGAATCAATGCGTGCGGGAAACAAGTTCTTATTAGCCCCTTGTTTTGAGGAGTAAGTGTAAATATATCACTCTTAGTTTGTTTGTTAAGTATAGATGTTGACGCATAACAATTGATTGTTATGATATTTGCTTTAATATACATGTAGTCTACATTGGAGCCTTATGGTGATTTGTGTTTCCAATAACACAATCTACTACTTTGACTCGGCTCGTATATGGCCACCAAGGAAGTTGCTAGTGAATAACCTATTGAATAGGTACATACCGCTTCCTATATATTGTTTTGTATCATAACTTAAGTGATTGAGTGACTATGTTCCTAAATCGTCTGTTTTTTATTTTTTTGAAGTGTTATGAAGAAGTTGAATTGTCGTTCGGTTGCGGGTCCCACGTGAAAATATGCGAAGGTAAAGCCTCGATATATTGATTTTTAAAAAAAATTGACTTGAGTTTTGGCTATGCATGACTATTTTAACATTGTGTCATTTTAGTGTGCGCAACAAGACAACGGCGTTGACTGTGCCCTCTACGTGATGAGGTTTATGAATGACATAGTCAATAGGTGCAATGAAGCCCAACACATTGAGAAGGTACTTGTTTTTACTTTTTTCCGGTTCGATTTCGAGTAAAAGCCGTCCTAAAACTAATTATAATGCTAATTTGCTATGATTTCAAACATTAGACACCAAAGACTAGTTATAATTGACATGTTATGATAAAGAAATTGCTCATTAGATAAGAAATGTAGAAATCGGACAACGTAGTAGTGAAATAGGCGATTTCGGGTAAAAGCCGTCCTAAAACTAAGCATAATGCTAATTTGCTATGATTTCAAACATTAGACACCTAAGACTAGTTATAATTGACATGTTATGATAAAGAAATTGCTCATTAGATAAGAAATGTAGAAATCGGGCAACGTAGTAGTGAAATAGGCGATTTCGGGTAAAAGTCGTCCTAAAACTAAGTATAATGCTAATTTTCTATGATTTCAAACATTAGACACCTAAGACTAGTTATAATTGACATGTTATGATAAAGAAATATCTCATTAGATAAGAAATGTAGAAATCGGGCAACGTAGTAGTGAAATAGGCGATTTCGGGTAAAAGTCGTCCTAAAACTAAGTATAATGCTAATTTGCTATGATTTCAAACATTAGACACCTAAGACTAGTTATAATTGACATGTTATGATAAAGAAATTGCTCATTAGATAAGAAATGTAGAAATCGGGCAACGTAGTTGTGAAATAGGCGATTTCGGGTAAAAGCCGTCCTAAAACTAAGTATAATGCTAATTTGCTATGATTTCAAACATTAGACACCTAAGACTAGTTATAATTGACATGTTATGATAAAGAGATTGCTCATTAGATAAGAAATGTAGAAATCGAGCAACGTAGTAGTGAAATAGGCGATTTCGGGTAAAAGCCGTCCTAAAACTAAGTAGAATGCTAATTTGCAATGATTTCAAACATTAGACACCTAAGACTAGTTATAATTGACATGTTATAATAAAGAAACTGCTCATTAGGTAAGAAATGAAGAAATTGTAAAAAGTGAGCACCCGAGGCAACTACAGCACCCGAGGCAACAACCTCGGGTTATGCTAGGCAGCTGCAAGCAGCCAGCCACCAAACGGCAACAGCTGCCAGGCAGCCGCAGCAGCAGCCTAGGCAGCTGCCCTGGCACCAACAGCAGCAGCCTAGGCAGCTGCACAGGCAGCCGCAACAGCCACCTGGCAGCTGCAACAGCAGCCAGGCCGCTGCACAGGCAGCTGCAGCAGCCACCAGGAAGCTGCACATGCAGCTGCAGCAGCCACCAGGCAGCTACAAAAGCAGCTGCAGCAGCCAACAGTGAGCTGCACAGGTGGCTGCAGTAGCTACCAGTGAGCTGTAGAGGCAGCTGCAGCAGCCACCAGGGAGCTGCACAGGCAGCTGCAGCAGCCACCAGGCAGCTGCAGCAGCCACCAGGCAGCTGTACAGGCAGCTGCTGCAGCAGCCACCAGGCAGCTGTACAGGCAGCTGCTGCAGCAGCCCAGGCAGCATCCGTTCGTGAAACCGAACCGTTCATGCAACTTTGTGTAATTTTTTCGTACTTGCATTGTTAGTGTATTATAGACAATGTTTGTGAAAAAAAATTCCAAGCGGAAAAAAATATAAAAAAGGGCAAGTAGAAGTGGAAAAGGCGATTTTGGGTAAATGCCGTCCTAAAACTGAGTAAAATGATCTTTTGCTATGATTTCAAATATTAGACACCAAAGACTAGTTGTAATTGACATGTTATGATAGATAAATAGCTCATTAGATAAGAAATGTAGAAACCGGGCAAAGTAGTAGTGAAATAGGCGATTTTGGGTAAAAGTCGTCCTAAAACTTAGTTGAATGCTAAATCGGGCAAGTTAGAATGATGTTTGAAATATTTAACATACATAAATTATTATTTTTAATTATTAGTTTGAATTTTATGTAATTTATATGAATGATGTTTAATGTTTGGTATTTTTTTGTTTTCAAAGGTTTGTAAAAGGGAAGGCTCTTTGACAAAGGAAGAGGTTGATGAAATTCGCGACATGTGGGTTTTTTTTTGTGACATTTGATGGCATCTATGTAGAATATATAATATATATGTGTTAGTTAGATAATGACTTGGATTGAGTTTTATTTTTTTTACTTTTTTTTTATGAACAATAAATATTAATATTTAGTTGTTACCGTATCTTTTTTATTTTTATATATAGTACGTAAATCCATATGTACATTATATTACTTATTTGTAATTAGTACTATACATTATTTATGAGTTTTATATATGTTATTATTATTATGCATTTTATTGTTATTGAATTATTATTATTCCAAAATTTGTAATATTTTTAATTAATTATTATTTATTAATATTAATTAAAATAATAATATTAATAATAATAATAATTTTTAAAAAACTGGAATAATGTGCTTCTCAAAACAGGTCACTAATAATATTATTATTATTAATTATTATATATATTAAAATAAAAAAAATTACAAATGGCAAGCGGTTTTGGCGCCAAAACGCTTGACATTCACCCCAAATGGGAAGCGGTTCTGAACCGCTTGCCATTTGCTTGGCAATTGGCAAGCCCCCTAAACCCATGCGGTTCAGACCCGCTTCCCATTTGGGGATTTGAACCGCTTCCCATAATGTTTTTTCTACTAGTGTGAGCACAGAGTATGTGATAAGCTTGTAAGTGTCTCTTTTTTAGATTAAAAAAGGGATTTAAAATTATTGTTTCTTTTAATTCTTGTGATCTTAATTAGCTTTGTTCTCGAACTTGAAATGTATTTAATTTGCTAGAGGTGTGGTAATTATTTTCTTGTTGTTGGTCTAGATGAGACCAAGTTAATTTCCGGGCTTATTAGCAGAATTAAAAAAGGCTTGACTTAGCAAAGCTAGAATGGCCGTGCTAATTTGAAGTGTAAGTGCCCCACATGAGGTGAGGATGGGAATCACATTCCATATGTCTTTAAAATTTATTAATATTCTGTGAATGTTAGTATTGTGGGGGTTGCAGATATGTTTCAGTTGTATATTTTTTTAAAGTAAGCAGTTCACCCAAGAATTTGGTTGACACTCCCTTATTTGTTACCCGATGCATGATTATTCTCATGTGGTATCTGTGATGTGGGGGTTTCTAATAATGAAGAATTGATTTCTATATATATGTTTCACGTAAAGCATGAAGGCTTGTGGGACTGTGGGTGATATGTATGCTGAATATCTGCTACGTTTATCATGTACGAGCTTGATATGTTAAATCCTTGAAATGTCTCAAGTATATGTTTTCCTATGACATGACATGTTAGTTTTGCTCGTTCATAGGATTTGTTCTTGCTTCCTAAGCTTTGTTCTGCCAGTAAAGTTGATGAGTTCATCATCTAAGGTGTATTGGATTAAAGCTTAAACTAGTGTTATATCATCTTGGTTTTACTTTCTTAATCGAAAGTTGTATGTAGATGTTTGTTGTGTGGTATATATTCATGTAGTGGTGAATGGAAAAATTCTGAACCATATGGATAAACCTGATTGACTAGTTGTGGAAAGAAGCATGTTAACGCGAGTTGTGCACTCTCTTTGAGTCTGATATGCTTGAGGATTGTTTATCTTTCCTTGCTATTATAAATCAATCAGTTGTAAGTATCTTTCAAGGTGAGTTGAAAGGTGGTTGATTGGAAATGGGTTAAAGGTAAGATAATATGTTGTTAGGATTTATTATGTAAGTTTGGTGCTGACCAACTCTTATGACTCACCTGGTTTGTTCTAAGCTTGTCTGATTTGCTGTAAGATTGCTTGAGCTTCCTAGCATGATTGATTGTAAATCAAGGGTGTGTATTTAAAACGCATGCACAGGTGACAACTTAGAAGATGAGGTATTTTTGCTCATAATGTTATATCCTTTGTGATATATATGGTGAGTGGGGGTTAGATTTGAGTACTCTAACTTGTTATGTTAAGTTTTTCTTGGCATGTGAGTTGAACTTCTTGATGCATGTGTGATGTTACTATGGTTCGCATTGATAGAATTCATTTGCTAGAATGATCATAAGTTGTTAACTTCCCATGCATGTTGTTTATTGAGATAAAGATGTATATGTGTCTCTAAGCAAAGAAACAAGTACAAGATAATGTGATAAGCAGAATGGTTCTAGGTAGTATGCCAATGAACTAATAAAGGTACGCATCAATCTCATTATTGTGATGTAGAGAAAGTGGTTTGGTAAATTATGTTTATCATGCCTAAGCCAGAGTTATTTTTATGATTTGGCCTTGATGTTTGATTCAAATGTGCTAATGTTTTGCAATCTAAATGATGAACAAACTATTCTTGACGTGTAGTGGTTTTGTTTTGAATTATATTTTTCATTATGTTTGTCAAGAGAGAATTACTCAATTATTGTTTGAGTTTCAGATAGTACAGGGATGGAGGTTAAAGTAAGAAAGTTTCTCAAGTACCTATCCAGTAAATTCTAAGAGACAATGATTGAATGAACAACGATGATTAGTTGAACCCTTCAGTGTATGGTTTTTACATGATGAAGGGTGGTGCTCTGTTTCGAGTGAGCTACAAAACAAATTGTTGTACACTATCCATTATGAGGCAAAGGTTCATTAGATTGGATGACGTGTGTCAAGTAGATGATTGTTGCAAAAATTAATCTTTGGAAGTTTATCCATTATGGGGGTATGTTGATCCTCTTGTTCTCTACATTATTTTTCACAAGTGTCTATGTATGTTGTCAGGAACTACAGATGTAGTGACAAAGTTAGACAGATCTTGTGGAGGTAATACTCATATCAGAGTACGTGAAAGCAAAGAAGAATCAAGCAGGTCCTTATACTAGGATGAAGCACAGGTAAGTGCTTGATTGTCTAAGAGTATATTTAAGATCCTGTGGGGTATTTTAAATTATTCTAGTGACGAAGTTTAAAAGATCGAGTCTACGTCCTAAAGTGATTTGTCTTAATAACCCTCTAATTTATATGGTTATGAGATGCTTCGGTAGACTTGTTGCTTGATGTTTGCAGGTTGAGCTTTAAGTGCTCTTAATATGTCCATAACCCAGATTGGGTGGTCAATTGAGACAGCTTACATGGACACACCGAAGTGTTTTGATTTATTGAACTTTTGTTCTGAATGGGTCTAGAGCCTTGGTTTGGTTGACTCATTGTTGGATTTACATCATTATCTATAACTTTTTTCAGTGGTTTGTTGATCAGGTGGATTCAGTAAGGTTGAGCGTGGCTCTTAATGTCATTTGTCCAGTTATTCTTTGAGCAGGGATTGATAATGGTTCTTAAGTGGATTTAAGACCATTAGCCCAGTGGGTCTTAGAGTAGGATTGATAGTGACACCGAAGGTGGAAGGTTGAGCATTGCTTACTCTTAATACTACTAGCCCAGTTGCTTGAGAGTAGGGAACGATAGTTATCCTTAAATGAATTAGAATCACTAGCCCAGTTACTACTCGAGTAGGGAACGATAGTGGTACCGAATGACTGAGGTTGGGAGTATCCCTTAATGCATATAGCCTAAGAGCTCATTAAGCAGTGGATTGATAGATGCACCGTCGAGTTGATAGGGTTGAACGTTTCGTTCTTAATGTTCTTATTCCATTGTACAGAAAAATCTTGGGTTTGCAAGGTGCTTGAATGTGTTTTAAGCCTGCAAGGAAAGACCCTAGATGTGCTGGGAATGTGTATTTTATACACAGACGGAACACCTACGTGAGTACGAGGGGTGGCCTCCTTCAAGGGAAAATTGTGGTGTAGTTTTTCTGAAGTACTCATGAGAGCCCAAGGTGTAGGCCAAGATTGGCGGAGTTACTTAAGCTCTAAAGTTAAGGTATGTGTATTCAAGGTCCCTTCCTCGCTCCTAGGAGTTCAAATCTTAGGATACTCACTAGGGAAGTGTTGAAAACCTTGTGCACTAATGTGTTAGTTCAAACCTTTGGATACTAGTATTTAAGTACTAAGACTTTCTTTTACTGTTCAGATTTCATGTTGAAGATCCGCTCGCATTAGTGGGGGATTGTTGGAAATAGGTAATACAAACGGATGCTCGCGCCCGATCGGGCGGCCCTCGCCCGATCGGGCGGAGGTGACCAAGGAAAATAGGAGAACTCTCGCGCCCGATCGGGCGGCCCTCGCCCGACCGGGCGGCAAACTCGAGTTTTTGACGAGCCCGATCGGGCGGCTTTGCCCGATGGATCGCCCGGGATGGGGTTTCTAGATCGCCCGACCAGGCGCCTGATCGGGCGCCCGACCAGGCAATGTTCGCCCGATCGGGCGCGACACCAGATCTGGAGAAACTTAATCTCGCGCCCGATCGGGCGGAAGCTCGCCCGATCGGGCCCGCCTTTTTTCCTAGGTCGGTTTGCTTTGCGTGTTTCTTTTTCCGGGACTCATATAAATACGAGTCTTGCCTTTTCATGACATTCATTCACTTTCTAGCCGAAAACACAAACCTACCTTTTGAGATCTGAACAGTTCTTGAGCAATTCCACTATTCGGGTTCGAGTGCACGAATTACGGGGAGAATTGCGTTAAACTTGGGGGGCGTGCGTCATCAGGAAACCTGTACCGGTGGTGGCTTATTGCGGTTCTAAGGCAGTGGATTTTGTTCCACGGCGCGACTGTGAGTTGAGATTTTCAATCAAGTATTTTTCCCCAACCATTTTCTCTTATTTGTTATTGGAATCGACAGGTATTTTACCAACATTGTGGGTTGACGCTCTAGTCGGGCCGCATATGAAGAGTTTGGAGATGTTGTATATTACGATGCAAGCTATCTGATTATGCAAAAATCATTTAGGTATCGTTTTATTTTATGTGTTATGAATAAAAAATTTGTGTACATAGTTGGGACTTTATTTGTCAATGTTTGTTACCTTTTGTAATGTTTTGGTACAATGAATTACGAAGCACTTATTTACGTTTAATCTATTGTATTTTATTTTAATTTTTGCAAAGGATCAACTTAATCTTGGTATTTGTTTCACTAATGCAATAAGGCCCAAAGATAATACATGAACAGATAAAAGTTTGCTAAGAAATCAATTTTGGGGAGAGGGTAATGTAGTAATTCATGAATAAGTTAGTTATTGAGTTTGTTATTTTAATTTGTTTTTCTAGATGCTTCTAGAGTTTATTAGCTTGCTTTATTTTTGGGTATTAACAGAAGTTTGGGGTTAAGGGGAATACATGCAGAAATTTGTTAAGAAGTTTGTTTTGGAGAGCACCTTCCTCTCAAAAGAAGGCCTTGTATTATTTAATGGGGGCTTCCCAGTTTCTCAA